AGTTGTGTAATTTATTGCATGCAATCGAACAAAATTATATATGTAGCCTATATTTTAGTTATTTCCGAGTGTTTAGTCCAATTCATTAAACTATAAACAATTTATTGTCATTTGGAAAATCTTTGGGTTTTCAGTAAATCATTTAGATGCTATTCAAAACGATTTTTACCAATATCAATAGTATTCGCACATCGGCCTTTTAAATGATCCGCGTCAAACGGACAAACGGACGGATGGAATGCATAAATTGACGGAAAACATGATTCTATGTATATCCTCAAATGTAACTATATGTCCAAATTGGTATCTTCTACATGTTACATACATATACCTGAGTCATAATAACCTGTGCTACAGTTTGATATTCGGTATACACTTTTTTGCCAACAATTCTCAATTGTTTACCTGTGAAATGCGTCGCAGGTGATGATTAACTGTTTGTCACTTTAACATTTTTAATTGCCAAAACAAACCAGACAATCAGTCATGTTCTATTTAAGGAATGTGTGACGCTTGTTATTTTCGGCTATAACATCTTATTATGAGTGCTATGTGGGACCATTTATTCAATGTTGCTGCTCCCATTACGTTTTCGTAAAAACGAACCACACATATTCTCTGTTAATTTAAATTTGCAGTTGTTTGACATAGACGGGAGCGTATTTTCCCAATACCAATGCAAGTAAATTGAGCACTTCTGCTTTATTGCCTTTAAAAATAGTCATCCTATTCACAACACAGACACAGTAGTTGTCGCGTCATAAATATGACGTCACTCGGCTGTTGTCCACAACAGACATCACTCATCGTCATTGTCCTGCAAAACTCTTTATTATTATTGTTGCAGTTGCTAAAGAATGGACACGACGGCATGTTCGTATTTTCCACAATATATTTTTATTCTTACAAACAAATATTTTTTTTAATTTCCGTTCATATCAACAGTTGATAAAGTTCTTGGTTTTATGGTCTTGCAAATCTGCTTCGTCTTCTTGATTTTTGACATTTTTTTATGATTTTTTACTACAAAAGAAAAAAGGGGGAAAGGATTTTGTTGCTGTTAAATTAAAATAGATAAATGTATATGTACATATGACACGTTTTGTTTTATAGCAACAAAAGGAAACACTTGTCTTCCCATGTTATAAGTAGAAATATAAACAATTTACCACAACATTTCGTGATGAAGATGACGATAAGGGGCTGCCAGAGATTTATGGAATTGTTGTCTTTTGTTAATTAAGTCATTGAAATAACGCATGTTTCTTGGTACCTAACCACAAGGCTATTAATATACAGAGGTAAATGTCACGGTGGTACTGAGATTTCCTTGAAATCATATCTTGTCACCCACCATTGAGCATCTAAATTAAGGATACGGAGAGGATGTTTATACCACGATTCCACGCTGTGGTACCGGTAATTATAACTTTATGTATATGTTTAGTATATACATAGTATCATTTTCTGAATCGATCGATGGATGTCTGTTTATGTATTATTGCACTGTGAAACTAGAAAATTTTTTAGGGTGTGAACGATCTTGGACGACCAGAAACTAGAAGGTCAAATTCGATTTTTGATTTCTGGTGCTATGATATTCGAGCTCACATGTCAAATCGGATGAAGAATATTTATACCCTTCACCACACTGTGGTACAGGGTATTATGTCTTTGTGCATATGTTTGTAACAGGCAAAAATAATCGAGATCGACCCATGGTTCCTTTTGAGAATATGCACAGAATCACTTTCTGAGTCGATTTATGCATGTCCGTCCGTCTGTCGGTCCGTCTGTCCATGTTAAATTGTAAACAAAGTACAGGTCGCATTTATGATCCGAATTGGATTAAAATTGGCACAGCTCATTTGTTTGGCTCAAGGACGAACCCTATTGAAATTGGGAAAAATCGGTTCAGATTTAGATATAGCTCCCATATGTATTTTCGTTCGATTTAAGGTTAATGGGGTACCAAAGTCCCTATATATCTTACGATTTGCACGAAATTTGGCATAGCGTACTGAATTAAGTCTAGAATGATGTGTGCAAAGTTTAGTGAAAATCGGTTCAGATTTAGATATAGCTCCCATATATATCTTCTTCCGATTTAAGGTAAATGGTGCACCAAAGTCCCTATATATCTTTCGATTTCCACGAAATTTGGCATAGACTACTGAATTAAGTATAGAATGTTGTGTGCAAAGTTTCGTGAAAATCGGTTCAGATTTAGATATAGCTCCCATATATATTTTCATCCAATTTAAGGTAATTGGTGCATCAAAGACCCTATATATCTTTCGATTTGCACGAATTTTGATATAGGGTACTGAATTAAGTTTAGAATGATGTTGCTAGGCCGATTGACACAACGTACTGAAGTAATATATATTAGTCTCTGGTAAGTTTCCCTTAAATAGGTTCAGATATAGATATATAACAAACACGCTACTTCTGTTAGGATACACATGTAGAATATACCGAAAGTGGTGAAGGGTATCATATAGTCGACCAGTCCGACTTTACTACTTTCCTTACTGATTTTATTAAACATTTCCCACTTCTGTTACAAGTCCTTGTGCGTCTTTTTCGTTCTTATTTTTTGGATTGTAATCGAAATACCAAAAGTCATGATTTTTAACTTCCAAATATTCTACAAAATGTTGCTCATATGATTTCAAATAGAATTAAATTTAAATAAATTTCGAATAAATTGTACATTTTAAATAGCTGTCGGATTCGTCCGAAATATTTGCTGATTAGTTTAACCAGATTTTCAAATAATCGACCAGATTCAGTTCTGTAAAAGCTAACATCATGCAAATCACATAGAAATCTGCTTCAAATCGGACCAGACTTACATTTATAATTAATCAATGGCATACATTTTTGATAGTTTTCCGAATGGTATTTATGTGGTTTGACTGAAGTCGATTGATATTTCATGTCAATGGTCCACATGCTACGTCTGTCCCGAGGGTATTTCGGGTTCTTAGAGGATAAGTGGCCTGTCGTTATGCCGTATTATGAAGTGTATAGTAATTATCAGTATCATTTGTAACTCATCGAAATATTCATTTCCTACCCTATAAATTAATCAGTGTAAATTTCTAAGACGATCTATGGATGTCCGTCCGTTTAAAGGAATTGACATAGGGTGTTGAAATTTTGACACCAAATTTGTGCTATTTTAGAGATTTTGAACACCTTTTTAAACGGATTAAGTGGAATTTAATATTCTATATTATCATTGGGTACCAAATCTCCCTATGAAAACCCAGTAGGAAAGTAGTAAAGTCGAACGCAGCCGACTATATGATACCCTTCACCACTTTGAGTATATTCAGCAGATGTATCCTTCGCATTGAAGGACCATTAACATGAAATTGGATGAACTAAAACATGTGATCTTTATCTAACTGTAAACCGACTTAGATCAATTCATAAACACGTCATTTGTTTACAATGAGTCAAAATAACATAAATCGATTTAAAGCAAATCGGACATCCCTTAATTATTTGGAGCCGAATTAACATGATATATGGGCTATGTCTGCATTTCTACAAAACGCAATTACGTCATTCTCTGCTCAATTTTGTGCTCTGACAAACATGAGGAGCTTTGTGCTTAAAATCGGACGAAAATAAATAAGGAAACTATACCAAATACTAAATTCAGAACGTTTTGTGCACATTGGTTATATTTTGGGCTCATGGTGGACCATTTGCTTAAAATATCACGAAAATATATATGGGAGCTATAACCAAATCTGAACCGATTTCAACGAAACTTGACATACGTAAGGTTATATTAACTACAGGACGTTGTTCAAAATGTTGTGCATATCGGCCATATTTTGGGTCTTTGCTTTATTATTGACTTTATATTGGACGGAAATATATATAGAGCTATATCTAAATATAGCTATACTTCAGTACATTGTGCAAAATTTTGTGTTAATCGTCTTTACTTTTGGTCTTGGAATGAAACTATATATCTAAACCTAAACCGATTTCAACAAAACTTGAAACAGGTTAGCCTCTACCTACTTCAGTACGTTGTGCAAAATGTGTGACAATCGAATCGGCCTATCTTTGGGTCTTTGGTGCACCATTAACTGAAAAGCGGATGGAATTATATATCGGAGGTATATCTAAATTTGAACCGGTTTGACCGAAATTCTCCGCACAGTAGGCTATACTAACTTCGGTAGGTTTTGCAAAATTGTATGCCCATAGGCCATATTTTGGGTTTTTGATGCACCATTTACTGAAAACCGGATAAACCTTGGGAGCTTTTTCTAAATCAGAACCGTTTTCAACACATACGTGAATGAAAATGTTGTGTTAATCGTCTTTACCTTTTTGCACCCTTTTATTAAAACCGATTAAAACATATATGGGAGCTATATATAGACCTGAACCGATTTGAGCGAAACTTTCCACAAATTCTGCAAAATGTTGTGCCAATCGGCCATATTTTGGGTATTTGGTGCACCATTAACAGATAATGGGTCGAAAATATATATGGGAGCTGTATATAAATCCGAACCGATTTCAGTGAAACTTTCCACACAGTATATTATACTAACTTCAGTACATTATGCAAAATTTTGTGTCAATCGGCCATATTTGGGGCTTGGGGGAACCATTTACTGAAATCGGACGAGGATATATATGGGAGCTGTATCTAAATCTGAACCGAATTATCCTAATTTCAATAGGGTTCGTCCTTGGGCCAAATAAGTGAGCTGTGCCAAATTTCATCCAATTCGGGTCATAAATGCGATCTGTACTTTGTTTACAATTTAAAATGGACAGACGGACGGACATGCATAAATCGACTCAGAAAGTGATTTTATGCATATTCTCAAAAGGAACTATGGGTCTATCTCTTTTCCTTTTGCCTGTTACAGATGATTACAGATTGATTACAGTTTATAAAGTTTTTATTTATTTTTGTAACCAAATATTTTTTTTATTTTCTTTTTTCCATTTTTTAGTTTTATTGCGTGCTCTAAATGCCGATATCGCTGCAAATGGTCATGAACTTGGTACCCAACCCATGGAACCGGATTATGCGGATACCGTTTATAATGAACTTGAATTTGCTAGCAAATATGATATGATGCAAAAATTACAGCAGGACATACAGGAGGAACAAGATATTGTTAGTAAATCGGCAATACTAATGAAACTTTTGGAAGTAAGCATACTTCTGCAATTAATTTCAATTGATTCTTAAACATTTAATAACATTTGTGCATTTTATTTTTATTATCCAGGATCCAACAATTGAAACCCTACCAATTGTCTATGTGGAAGAGGATGGATCTCTGGACGATAACAATGACAACAGTCTCGATTATCAAACAAATACAAATGGAATGACGAAACGGTCTCGTTACTACAGACGCTATCCTTGGAAACGCCATAATAGAAATCGCAGGTATTTTAAATGGCAATAGATTATAATTAGAATAAAAATATTTTTGACTAGTAAGTGTTGGATGTTTGTAGGTATATTTAGAGAAACAAATAGAATATAGGTTTTAATACATGTATTCACATGCGTTAGGATTTTGGTAGACAGTTACCCATATATAAAATGAAGATTTTTATGACTTCTATAAAATACTCATATTCTACTAATTTTGTTATAGTCTTGTATAACGTAGAAACCTTCTAGATTAGTTTATCGATATATTGAAGTAGAGTTGTGTGATTTCTTATGAGTTTTCCCCAAGGATTCCGTTTGCAGTCGGATATATGTTTCGTCTGATATTAAGTGTGGTAGTACCTGTCATTATGTGTATACCCTTCTCCATTTGACCATTAATGTCTGATTGTTGTTTGTATGTCATTTCAGAGTTTTGAGTCCGAAATTATTAACACCTATGTATGTGTGCGTTGTATGAAAAATATGATAAAATTTTCGAAATTATTGGAAATTTAAGCAGTCCTTCAAAAGGTGCCAATACCAAGATCTATTGACTAGAAGCAAAGACAAGATCATAATTTTATATATTTTTCCTACACCTCATTGTTGAACAGGGCACTATGTGTTTGAGCATACTTTTTTATACTCTCAGTCTTATGGGTAATGAGGTATATACACTTTGCTCCAACAAAAATGAATTTAATCGAAATATTGTTTTTTTTGCTTTTTTTGGCCCACGTTTCTTTGGACCGAATTCGTTTCAGAAAATTTGAAGCTGATTTACAAATGGTGCGCACGATAACCGATTTCATCCAAACTTCAAAATTAAATAAATTTTAACAAGTACAAAAACGTTAAGTTCGGCCGGGCCGAACATTGGATATCCTCCAACATACGTGGACTGATACTAATAACACAAAACTTGCAATTTAGATTACATTGTATACGAATTAGCGAATATTTGGGGTTATAGCTATATGAGGGCTATGCCTAATTAATGGCCGAAATATATAAATTTCAAACCCAATATTTATTCCCTTTACCACACTGTGGTACAGGGTATTATGTCTTCCTTTTGAGAATATGCATAGAATCACTTTCTGAGTCGATTTGTACATGTTCGTCTGTCTGTCCATGTTAAATTGTAAACAAAGTGCAGGTCGCACTTATTATCCGAATAAGATGAAATTTGGCACAGATCATTTATTTGGCCCCGGGCCGAACTCTATTGAAATTGGGAAAAATCGGTTTAGATTTAGATATAACTCCCATATATATTTTCGTCCCATTTTTAGCAAATGGTGCACCAAAGAGAAAAGTTTATGCGGATTGGCCCGAAATTTTGCAGAACGCACAGAAGTTAGGATAGACTAACGTGTGGCAAGTTTTATTGAAATCGGTTCAAATTTAGATATAGCTCCCATATATATGTTCGCCCGAGTTTTCGCGAGAAAAGTTTAAGCGGATTGGCACGAAATTTTGCACAACGCACTGAAGTTAGGATAAACTAATGTGTGCCAAGTTTTATTGAAATCGGTTCAGATTTAGATACAGCTCCCATATATATGTTCGTCCGATTTTTCGCAAATGGTGCACCAAAGAGTCAATTTAGGCCGATTGGCATGAAATTTTGCACAACGTAGTTTGGATAGAAGTTAGGATAGATAAACGTGTGCCAAGTTTTATTGAAATCGGTTCAGATTTAGATACAGCTCCCATATATATGTTCCACCTATTTTTCGCAAAATGGTGCACCAAAGATTTAAAGTGTGTTCGATTGGCACATCATTACGCGCAACGTATCGAAGTGGGTCTGGGTTAACCGTTATGTGGGGGCAACCGAAAAAGTAGACCGATATTAATAATTTTTAGTGGAGGCATTCGGTAAATGGACCGATAAACTCATCTTCGGACCTGCAGACAAGAAGCAACTTTATGCAAAATTTTGGCGATCTATCTCAATTCATTTAGACGCTAGAATGATTACAACAGAAAGTCGGACCTGCATAAGTTGCATAGAATTTTACGCTGATCAAGAATATATATACTTTATACAAATATACCCGGTTATTGATCGTTTGGTTAAGTCGGTTCACATATAGACACAGATCACATATTTAACTTAGTCGAATTTCATGTCAATGGTCCTTCAAAAATTAAAGGTCTGTAAGGATGTATTTCTTGAATATAGCCAAAGTGGTAAAGGATATCATATAGTCGGCCCTGTCCGACTTTACTACTTTCCTTACTGGTTTTGTTTTGTGTCTCAATTCTTTTCTTCAAGAGGTATAATTATATGGGGGTGATGCCTAAATGCTGGCCGATATATTTTATTATCGTCAGATTCAAGTTTTTTTGTCACGATTTCCTTAGAAAGCGGAATTATTACAACCGATGGCTAAATCGTCTTAGAATTCCATAATTTGTAGGGTAAAACTGACTCTTTCGAGGGGGGCTACCCGAAAAAATGGTCCTATATTTATAATTTTTGGTGGAGACATTTGGTACCCAATAAGAACCCATTGTACCAAGTTTCAGCGAATTCGGTTGAAAAACGCGCTTAAAACTCCCCAAAATACCGAAAATTTGGGGTACCGTTATATCGGAGCTATGCCTAAACGTGGACCGATATATCCCATCTTGACCTGCCTGCAGACAAAAGACAAACCTTTGGAAAATTTCAAACCTCCCTATCTCAATTCCTTTAGAAGATAGTGTGATTACAACAGACGGACAGACAGGCAGAGGCACATGGCTAGATCGTCTTAAAATTTTACCCTGATCAAAAATATATACTTTATAGGGTCGGAAATGAATATTTCGATGAGTTTCAGACGGAATGACAAAAAGGGGGAATATTAGTCCCTTCCTCCTCCGAAGTGCGAACGGTGTATCCGCTTGCATAACCTAATAATTTAACATAGCCTGTATAATGTCCTTCTTGAATTATGATTGGGAATATCTTCAGTATGGTCTTGATCAATGTTCTCCACTCTTCAAGTCGTTAATTTTTGAACAATGTTTTCCTTTTACTTTGAAGGGATATTTCTTCCTCCCATTTTAAGCTGCTGCTTTGGTCCTTTATTTCTTCAATTGTCTTTTAAGTTATTTCCGCTTGGACTGCTATTGCATATATCAAATTTTAAGTGAGTTTTCTAAAATAAATATTTACTAAAATTTTCTTTTCATTTGTTCACAAATAGTCATATATTAATATTATCTTTGACTACATGGGCCAGGGTACATAATTTGCGACGCATCGGGTAGTTCTGCCCAGCTACTTCCACTCTGCTGGAACTTTCATTTATTATTATTTTAACTAAGTGTTTTATTTTCTAATTTCAATGGCTTTATTTTATTTTCCCTTCCAGCACTTATGAACCCGAGTTACGTTACGCTTGTACACCCACCAAGGAGGATGTCTTCAAACTATTGGTAAATCTGCATGAAAATCGTAATGGCAAAAATGGTAAAACTATCAATTTCTGTAATCGCAAACGTCCGGCCAAGGCAATTTTCACTAATATCAGATTTCTGGGTTAAATCTATAAACATCAGATTTAACCTGGTGTAGAGACTATAAAAAACGATGGTTAAACAACCAAAAATCAATTATAATAGCCAAATACATGTAGACAGAACAAGGTAAAAAAGTGAATTGTAAAAAAAATACCAATATGAATAAAGAGGCATAATATAAAACACTTGCATACTAATAAACTATCAGAATTAGAACACATATAATATGCAAACCTGAAAATAAATTATTAGATAGAAAGATGAAGTCCTATAAGCAGCTACAATTATTAAATTTAATTGACTTATCTTTGTAATGGACATTTGAAGTTGAACGATGCTTAATATTTTTTTATTTTAATATTTTCCTGATATATTCTAAATATTTTCAATGTGATTGAGTAAAGAGTTGTACAATATCGTTCTGAACTGGTTCCATGTTCAATGATCAATTGAACAAAAACACATCACTTAATTCCTTCAATGAACGGGACGATCTAGATGAGCAAACGGAACTAACTTAACGATAGAATCGCACCAAAGGTACCATTGGTACTACCTTTTGCGTATTAGTTACATTAAACAGTTCGTCTCGGAACGACACAAATCTATATTTCTGATTCATTTCAAAGAATTTGCATCAAGTGATCCATTAATTACATTAAAATTTTGTAAATAAAAATATATAATGAACAAAGAAATTTACTAAAACCAAATAATAAATAAACATCCATATTGTTATAACATTGAAAAAAAATTAAAATGAAGTCAATAAATATTAAAAAAAATATTCCACCCAAAAAGAAAAACAATATCTTCCTAATAATAATCCTACACATAAAATTCCTCAAAACGTTTGTCATCTTAATGTTCGCATATATACACTGAAAAATATATATTACAATAAATAGTAAAAATGACATCTGTTTATTTAAATATCACCAAATTATTTATTAAATATAAAGCAAGTAATATGACTGTACTTAAATTCCTGTTGTATGCACTTAAATCATATCAATATCAATTAAATAATTCAAATTATAGTTTATAATTGTTGTGAAAGTAATAATTGTTGCAAACAATAGAATATATATTTTGATCGCTCTTAGTATAAAAAATATTGGCCCCTGAAATAAGAAACGTTTATATCTAAAAATATATGTAGTTGCATTTGTATTTAAGCAAATTGAATTGATTTTTTGTTTATTCAAAATATATTTGTATATAAACGTATTTATTCCATATACATACATTTTATTTCTAATTGTAATGATGTTTCCAATTAAAAACTATTATTATAAAAAATTTACATACATACATATATTCAAAAATTATACAAACAAACAAAATAAATATATATAGATATACACGCATATTCATATATATGTAAATCATTCAATGTATGAAAATTAATTATTAATAAACAATTGAAAATATATATTTAATTTAATTGCTCATTTATGCGTTTAAGTAAGTTTTAGGTTTACTTATAAAAATTCAGTATACAATATACAACAACAAAATAAATAAAAGAGATTTCGATCTCGAATCAAATGAAATATATGTTTTATTTTAGCTAATGCTTAGAGCCACAGATTAGGTAAATGAGGTTTTAATCAGTGTTCGAAAACAAGTGGTGCAAAGGTGTTCCCCATCAAGTGTGTAAAGTATTTTTTCCGGAACACTAACCAGTAAGGAAAGTAGTCAAATCGGACTTGGCCGACAAAAAAATTGTGTAATTGTTTTGTTGTTGTTTTTTGTAATTAAAGACAAGTCCTTATTTTTTATGGCGTGATAACTTCTCAATGGAACATCGGAATCCGAAAATTCCAACGGTGTTAGAAAGTGTACATGTCTGGCTCTCGTATGGACTAGGATTATTGACTTCGCTCTAAAATTAACAAAATGGCGGACCTTTGAAAAAATATTTTTGCAAAATCGTCGATTTTTTACCAAAAACAAAGTTAAAAAACCAGTGAGGAAAGTAGTAAAGTCGGACGGGGCCGACTATAAGATACCCTTCACCACTTTGGGTATATTCAACAGATGGAATCCTAACAGACGTCGCATTTTTGAATCTAAACCGATTTCATCGAAACTTGTCACATGTTAGGTTACACCTATTTCCGTATGTTTTGTGCATTCGACTAAATTTTGAGTTCTTCATTTACTTATAAATCCAAATTTCGTGCAAATCGGAGGTAATATAGGGGGCTTTGCTGCACCATTTACATGAAATCGGACGATAATACATATGGGAGCTATGGGAGCTATGGGAGCGATTTTTGCGAAATTTTTACACACAACTTTCTAGACTTTATTCAGAAGGCTATGCCAAATTTCGTGCAAATCGAAGCATATTTAGGGACTTTGGTGCACCATTTACCTAAAAGCGGGCGAAACTATATATGGGAGCTATATCTAAATCTGAACCGATTTTTACAAAATTTAACACACATCTTTGTAGACATAGTTCAGTACGCTATGCCAATCTGAACCGATTTTTCCCAATTTCAATAGGGTTTGTCCTTGGGCCAAATAAATGAGCTGTGCCAAATTTCATCCGATTCGAACGAAAAATGCGACCTGTTCTTTGTTTACAATTTAACATGGACAGACGGACGGACGGACGGACGGACATGCATAAATCGACTTAAAAAGTGATTCTATGCATATTCTCAAAAGGAACCATGTGTCTATCTCGTTTCCTTTTGCCTGTTACAAACATATGCACAAAGACATAATACCCTGTACCAGAGTGTGGTGAAGGGTATAATAAGGAAGATCTTCACCGATTGGCTTTATCCTAGTTCATACGATAGATATAAACTCAAAAGAGAAAAACGCGTTTAAAGTTTGAGAAGTCCTTTAGCCGTCACTTGATGCTGACACAATAAATCGGCTATATCTTCAATAATTCTTGAGATTTTCACTTGAAATTTTGTATGGACATTCTGGAATTAGTGTAGATTCGAATTAAATCAAAAAAAATTGACCCCGAGAATGGGGGGAGGCCTTAAAGCAAACTCGATACACTCTATTCGGTATATCGCACTGTCAAAAATTTAATCTCAATCAGACTCCCGTTATATATATGGAGGCTATGTCTGCATCTTAACCAATTTCAAACAATATACGCAATAACGTCATTCTAGTCTCAGTTCGGTACGTTTTGCAAAATTTCGTGTCAATCGGACCAACATTAGTAAATGGTGCACCATTCACCTAAAATCGGGCGAATATATATATATATATATATATATATGTGTGAGCTATATCTAAATCTGGACCGATTTCAACGAAACTTTCCACAGATTAATTTATATTAACTTCAGTACCATTCATCTAAAATAGTGCGAAAAATATTTGTGGGAGCTATATCTAAATCTGACTAAACTTTCCACAGATTAATTTATATTAACTTCAGTACATTGTACAAAATTGTGTGGCAATCGGACACACATCATTCTCAACTTAATTCAGTACGATATATCAAATTTCGTGCAAATCGAAAGATACATAAGGACTTTGGTACACAATTTACATTAAATCGGAAGGAGCTATATCTACATCGTATACATCAATATGACCTATTTCAATATGATTTGCAAAATTTTTTATCAATCGGACAATCCTTGGGAGTTTGGTGCACCATTTAGACAAAATCGGACGAATATATCTAAATCTGAAACGATTTCCACAAAACTTCGTACACATCAATATGGGCCTATTTCAATACGTCGTGCAAAATTTTGTATCAATCGGACACCATTGGTGCACCATTTACCAAAAATCGTCCGAACTATATATAGGAGTTATATCTAAATCTGAACCGATTTTCACAAAACTTCGTATACATCAATATGGGCCTAATTCAGTACGCTCTACAAAATGTTTTCCCAATCGGACAAATACTGGGAGTTTGGTACACCATTTACATAAAATCGAACGAAACTATATGTGGGAGCTATATCTAAATCTGAAAAGATTCCAACAAAAATCCGCATGCATAAATCTGGAATTAATTCAGTACGCTGTGCAAAATTCTGTCTCAATCGGACGAATATTTGAAGTTTGATGTACCATTCACATAAATTCACATTCGGACGAAACTATGTACGATTTCAACAAAACTTTGCATACATCGATATGTCAAATTTCGTGCAAATCGAAAGATATATAAGGACTTTGATACACAATTTACATTAAATCGGAAGGAGCTATATCTACATCGTATACATCAATATGGACCTATTTGAATATGATTTGCAAAATTTTGTATCAATCGGACAATCCTTGGGAGTTTGGTGCACCATTTAGACAAAATCGGACGAATATATCTAAATCTGAACCGATTTCCACAAAACTTCGTACACATCAATAGGGGCCTATTTCAATACGTCGTGCAAAATTTTGTATCAATCGGGATTTTGGTGTACCATTTACATAAAATCGGCCGAACTATGTATAGGAATTATATCTAAATCTGAACCGATTTTCACAAAACTTCGTATACATCAATGTGGACCTAATTCAGTACGCTGTACAAAATGTTTTCCCAATCGGACAAATATTGGGAGTTTGGTGCACCATTTACATAAAATCGAACGAAACTGTATATGGGAGCTATATCTAAATCTGAACAGATTTCAACATAAATTCGCATGCATAAATCTGGACTTAATTCAGTACGCTGTGCAAAATTCTGTCTCAATCGGACGAATATTGGAAGTTTGGTGTACCATTCACATAAATTCACATTCGGGCAAAACTATGTATGTAAGCTACATCTAATTATAAACCGATTTCAACAAAACATTGCATACATCAATCTTGATTTAATTCAGAACCCTGTGCAAAATTCTGTCTCAATAGGACGAAACTATATATGGAAGCTATATCTAATTCCGAACCGATATATCTTCATTCTCTATATGATACTGTTTTTCGAATTTGTATTTCATTTTTATAATAAAAGTATGTTTTATTGTGCAAGGCATAATAATGTTAATTTTTAATGAAATCGT